CTGCCAGGAATGAGGTATGAGGTATTTACGTGATTACATATTGTCGTAGACAGGACTCCGGTATTCATAACAGCATAATAATTTTTTTAAGAATCTGGGTGTAGATTTAGAACTGTCAACTGTCGCAATGACTTATGTTTATTTTGAGAAATTAGTCTTAAAGGTAAGATTAACAATTATCGCACATGTGGAAGTAATCGATCGTATGTTTATTTCAATAAGCATGAAACTAACACCAAGTTGTCGTTCAGAACTTTGTTAATAAACCAAACCGAAGGCTGGTGGCTGGTAAATATGAAGGAAATAGTAGTTTGATTTATGTTTGGAACATCCTCATGATATTCGTGTTTACTACATAGGCATTTGCCTGTTTCTCGCAAGTAAGACAAATGAACCACGAGGAATGACATTTGGACCACTATTACAGGTAAGTAAAAATTTCTCTAAATGACCAATATTTAAGGTACTAATCTTTGTATGTCCCTTAGTCGATTGATAAATATTTCGATGTCGATGAAAAAGAAATAAAAGAGCATGAATTTTCAGTGTTTGTTGCTCTGGGTTTTCAACTATATCTACCAAAAGAAGAGTTCATGCCACATTTTGATCGAATATTTCAGTCGTTAGGCAAGTAGACACATGGTCATTTTTATGAAAACGAGAACTATTTCTTATTTTGCATGTATATTAACAGACCATAAGAATCTGCAAGAATATTTGGGTCCGGTTGCATTTTACGAAGTGCGGGAATGATATATAGAGAAAACAGCCATCGTATATCATATTATAGATAATATACGATGCCATGATTACAATAAATGCGATATAAATTATTACAAGTTGACAATACTTTGGTAAAGATGCGTTAGAAAAAAAAACTTTGGTGATTCGCTTGTGACATTGTTTTAATGGGTCTTGGTCAGTGATTTTCTCGGTAAAGATCAAAATGCCGATATGTGAGTAGTATGCCGGGTTTTTATTACTTGGGCGATCCCACATACCTTGACGTGATCGCGGGCAATTGCTTATTCCCGTGATACGCATGACGTTTATACTGGTCTCTTTCCTTGTTATAATTTCATCTAGAGAACCCGTATTATTTAGTTCCAGTTAAAAATGTTTGTGTTTGGAAAATAATATTTAAATCTTCGGATCTTAAGGTTCAATGATAGATTATAACGAATAAAAGGAGTTCATTAATATAAAATTCGTCAACCAATCTGTTAAATATTAGATGTGTATGTATTGTATCGATACTATAACATTCGTTGATTATAAATAACTTACATAAGGATGCCTGTATGACATATGCGGAGATTCTGGATGCTTTACGAAATTTGAAGAACGGGTACTTTAATACTAGTTAATTAGCTTTTCTATTCCATAAAATGGCTATTAGCATTTCTAAAGAACATGATTCAAAAAACATGCTACAATGCATGTGAAGTTTCGGTCTAATAAATTTCAGGCTTGCTACGACCTAAATGTAGCATTCTCTATTTTATATGATCAAGCTTTATGGGTTCGTGGTTTTGACTCTGTAGTCTCCGGAGATGCAGAAATTGTATCACCAGAGGCATCCCCCAGATCCTTTAGCTGAAAAAGTAGAATAGCTCTAGTAAATAAACATCTCATCAATCGCTGTTTCTCGCATTTAAAACAAACATCGAATACCTTTCCTATCAAATCGTTTAACTCTGTCATTAGATTGTTCAAATCTCGCTCGTTCTTGGTAAACATATCGGCGTTACGCTTAAACGATTCTCCATCTTCAGCTGCTCGGCTATCCGATGGCCTTGATGAATTCAAAAAGCATTCTATAATTAAAGGCAAATAGCTATTTTTACAGCACTAATATTAATAGTTCATAATCCTTACGGTTCATCTTCAGGCATACTCTCCAAGTCTACATGATTAGTAGCCAGCTGGATCTGTTTCTTCCTGATCAAATCGAGTTCTTTGAACATAGCATCCGAATTGTGCCCTGAGACATGAATAATAAGTACCATGTTAACTTTGAAAAGAAAAATATGGCCAATGACTCTACCTTGCATTGTTAGAAATCGCTATATACCGATCGTTCTTGTCTCTCCCTTTGCCATCTTTTTAAACACATTCTCTAATGTGTCCATGACTTTGCTGTGGTCCGTTATTCGGAAGTCGGACACCGTGGGAGAATTTGACGGATCCATTTCGGTCCGTTCGTGGGAGAGTTAAATTGAATAAGGAATATGGTCTTGTGATCGAAGATGTTGTTTTGGAATCTAATCACGTGAATGAATGCGGAGAGAAGATTTGGGAATTCGATTCACGATAATTAAAAATAATTACACATGCCTCCATTACCAATAACAGTCGCTGGTCTTCCCACAGCTTTAATATCGTCTCTCCTGAATGACGAAATTATCCAAGACCAAAAAATTAAAGAAGAGTGTAATGACTTGTTGAGCTCTTCAGTCGCAGACAGAATAACGATAATCTCGTGCGTGCAAAAAATTGACGATCGTATTCGAGATACCCAGGTTCTTCCTACTTTGCACTCGCTGTGATTGAACTAATCTTCATGATCAAAATTTAACCTCTTGAACATGACAACCTCACTATGTTAGACAAAAATTCTCCAAAAGATCATAACAAATCATGAATTGTTTACAAAACTATACGCGAACTCGATCCAACTACGAAACAAAATAAACGTCTTGTTCAAAGAAGTTGACGAAGTGTCACGAGAAGTTAATGATCCCGAAGTATGTCGCAGTGAATTAATTAGTCAAGAAGATTTTTCGAGTGAAGAAACTAATGTCAAATTTGTCTGTGATATTTCAAGTCAGGGATAAAACCAAAATTGTTAGCGGCATTACACGAGAATCACGTAATATTGCAAGATGTTCAGAATGTAAAAGCTGTCGCAGAGACTTTGGAACATTTATCAAAGATCAAGTCTTTGACACAAAAGTTCAATGAATACCTGTTACATGGACGAATAGAAGAGGCTGCTGGAGCCGCAAAGGACATTGTAAGCGCTAATATAAAGCATTGATTGTTCTAGTGTTTGCAGCAGAATGTTGTAAAGCTAAGTAGACTTGATTAGGATAGATTATTGGAATCTGTGCCATTGCGGAGTGAAAGAAAAATTGTTATTGTCGAGAGACTGAAGGTACAATTTTTGTAACAAAACGTTAATTTAGAATTATCTTTCTCCTTTATAGCTATTAACTTCTTCTTCTCTGATAAGACTCAACTTTCGAATATAAAAGATACGCTTGAAAAGGCTCTTATTGATCTCATGTCGAAAGCGGTCATATTTGAATTTATCGATGAGAATGAGCAAAACGGTTCTACCTTAACAGTACTATCGACAATCCAATGTAAGAATGAATTTGAATGAAATTTATGATTACGCACTTTACTAACTTAATCGTTAATCTTACAAATAGATCTCAATTATACGATACAACTATCATCCCTTTTGCTCTCATTCAAAGAAGTCGAGCTGATCCAGAATCAATTATCAATGCTCAAAAAGGATATAATGAAATATTTGATCATTCCCTACTTGCAAAATCACGGAACGTGGATTGCCAAAATTGACTCACCTGATTATATTACCACAAAATTAACTTGTAGACCTCCGGTAGCATCTAATGATATGCCATCAAGTGGTAAGACAAACTTCGCGCTAACCTTCTCCCGTGTTTTAATTCCTTCAACTAACTACCACACTATCTGTCAGCAGATTTATTTAAATCGCTCACAATTCTCTTCCATTTCATCTACACACATATTTTTGGGGGCACACTACTTTCCCCATCCAGCTCTGCTTCTCCGTTAACTGACGAATACGTCTCAACATTCGGCACAATGTTTTTTCCTCCTCTTCAGCAATTGATAATAACCGAGTATCTTTCTCACAAAATTCCAGTCGAAATTTCTGAATTGGATTCGTTTGCGGTATTGGCTGAATCGGCTAAAGAATTTGAAGAAGAAATGAGAAAATTGGGTTTTCTACCAGAAAGTGACGAGATGACATTAACTGAATACGTCAAAGATTTGGATATGCATTTTACAACAAAGAAACGAGACATTTTGTTAGAAATGGGGAGAGAAGCTATGATTGACAAAGCATTTGACAGCTATGTTGTTGATGAGAAAGAAGAGCTGGGGAATGAGTCGGGAAAGGTTGTGGGAAATGAACGTCCAGTGGGCGAATCGGGAGAAGCAGAGGGCTCAGACGAGATTAACAATGGGAAAGATCCTAATGGTAGAGAGAAAGAGAATGGTAAACAAGATAGCAAAGCAGATGGATGGGATGTCGACTGGAATGAAGCTTGGGACGAGGAAGATTGGGAAAATAAACAATCAACTAGTGTCAGTGATGATTCTGAACCCGAACGATACGAAATTACTACCAAGTCGAAAGCCATAATAGGATTGGTTATCAAGACTCTTGAAGAGGCCAAACAGTTGAAGGCTGAAAGGTTTTAGAAATGTTTGTAATCGTGTGTTCTGGTATTAGTTTTATTTCTCGGCTCACTCTGGTCATTTGCTTTAGTGCATTCCAACTCTACCAATCTACCCTGGACTTGTTTGATCTTTACAGAGTTCTAATGCCAGTTTATCATTACGAGAAATTTACATCAATACCCGCTTTAGCAATGTTGTTTTACAACGACTGCATGTGGCTCTCTCGAGAATTAATAAAGCTTCAGAAACAATTTGCAGGGTTGTTTGATGAAATTGGCAAGGAAGTTGTATATAATGAGACTGTAGAAAATTTACGCGAACTTGGAACATCGTGGTTCAATTTGCAGATAGTGAGTACTATGTATTATTTTTTAACAGTGGTTGATAGAACATAGATGATTTATTGGAAAACGAACTTTTTTAGGATAAGCAGAAACAGGCTTTATCCGAGCTATTTGATGAACTCAATGGTTTGCAGCAGTCAGCTACGGAGGCTAAATTTGAGGCTTGCAAGAAGGCTATGATGGAAATCATTTACACTGTTCAACTAGTTTCAAAGGTCTGGCAGGTATGAGTCGTATTTGATACACTTTTGTCTATTTTACGTGTTTCTATTTTTTGTTTTAATAATGATATTTATGTCACTTGCAAAATATTGCAGACAGTACTGCCTTCACCATCTCATTATAAGGCCATAAGTGCTTTAATAGATCATATATTGTTACGCATGATAGAAGAGGTTGAAGATCTAGCTGACATCGCACTAGAAGAATCCTCGCATCTCAATATTATTTGCACAATGTTATACGAGTTGGAAAGAATGTTCCCAAAGACCGAAGTAAGTCTCCGTTTGTCTCTAACATTTCACTACAAATTAGGTCTAACGTCCGTTGTTTTATCAATTAGCCAATCGGTAAACATAGTAGGGCATGGCACAAGTTCCAGCAAATAACAGAAATACTTAATTTGTCACTAGCCGAAATAATGGACAGATATAGAGGAGGCATATTAAGGGAATTTGAGACGGAGGAATTAGTGAAACTAATTTGTGCCTTATTTAGTGAGACAGCAATTAGAGGACGCAGTGTTCGCGAAATTCGAGGACAATGAGAATAAAAAAAAATAGTTGTCCCGTGCAAAGTAAATTTGAAGGAATATGGGAAACATTATTTCTGTAATAATCGAAACCATTAGTCATTGACATAATAAATGTTGGATCTGATTTTAATTATAGCGCGAGTAAATGTAAGTAGTCTGGTTTACTAAGCAAAAAAGATCCCAGAATAGTTGATTCTTTTTTGTCCGAGCAATCAAATCATCGGAAATTGCTGTCCTCAGTGGTTATTTAATAACCAAGCTATGGAGAATCCAATATAACTAACAGCTTTTGATTACGGTCAAGGAGACGTTATTACATTTTGTTTCGTGTAAACAATTATTGATATATTAGCTTGCGAATCTTTTTCAAAATCGTTAAGCTGAAAAATCGAACACGAATGATTGAGAATTAGAGCCGGCTGTTATCCGACTTGTTTGCTAATGACAAGTACGTGTTCCAGCCAATTGCAACAGTGTTGACTACTAGAACGCGATGTTGTAGCGGAATCAAGTGAAAATTTATAATTTGAACAGCTGGCCAGAGCTTGTAATTATTCTTTAATGCTGTCGGGTAGGCCTATAATAAGACACAAACAGGTTATATAACGATAGACAGGAAATTAATCACAGTTCTTCAATAAAGGTTTGCAACATATCTACCGATTCGAGTTTCTCCAGAATTTGATCGCGTGATTTTTTTTTCCATCACGCCTTGGGCTGTAAAAAAGATTGCTATGAACGACGGCGCGAAAAGAGCTTGATCTAACGTTACTCTACTGAGAAGCGCTGATTTACGGAATAATATGTACGTAATTGATGAATAGTTTCAATTTGCTTTAGCTTGTTAGACACAATGGCTTACCTATGTTCTTGTTTTTAATCTTGATAAATCTTTCCAGAAATCTATACCATGTTGTTAACATTGGTCCCTTGCTTACAATGTAGAGCATTCCTTTCGTAAGCCCATAGTGTACTCATTCAAGGCATCTGTTGTCTTAGTAATTGTGAAAACGTACTGCTATGAAGCCACCAAACAACGTCATTCTTCCCAATCGCGGAACATTAAATTCATCCCATGACTTCCTTTCTACAATCTTTTGTGCGATCATGTCTCCCGATGCGAAAAGCAATGCTAGACCGGAACAGATGGTGATCAATAAATTCACAGAATACCGCAAATATGGATGAGACAACGACGTACCAGTAACAATACTCTGTGTGATGATGGGTTTTGTGGCAATAGCCCGTTTGTAGACGTTCAATAATGATACCATATTTATTGGCAATCGCAACGGTTTCCTAATTCAATTAGATATTCTGATAAAAACTCCAAACGACTCATTATAACGCAATGGACTATGCACATCAGAGTTCTGCATCTATATATTAATATACGGTACTTTATATTATTATTATGCGAATAACTGGTTACCGGATATCCGGCTGGGGCTTTTTCGCCTAGTCACAACAATTTATTTTCGCGTAAAATAAGATTGATCGGCAAATAAATTCGCCAAAATAATAATTATTATCTAAACTCGTAGTTAATAATGGGCATTATCTTGTACTGTTAGAATGTCGTTTTGATAGCCTTCAATTATAGGTTTAGACAGTAAGAGCAATTGTAACCAAGCTTTCTACGATATCATTAGTACATCCCAGAAGTCATAGTAATAGCAGTGTTGAACAACTTTTAATTGACTCACTGTGGAATGTATGTCAACATACTATACACATCTTGCAAAGCAGTGATTGTCAATGCTTTAAACAAGTATTGAAAGTTCGATTTAGGCGTTTCTAGCAAGTCGTGTCTCATTGATATAATTGTTTTCACTAGTATCTGGGTTTCCTTTGCGGTATAATTAATCCCACAGCCCCAACTTTATCATGCGAACATAGAAATCTATGAATAAAGTTATCATTTCTTTCTTCGGAAAGAGCTTAAACAATCGTCGTTTTTTGCTGGTAGTACGATTATGACATTTACAATTTGCCTCCCTGTCATTCGCTATGGGAACATTGGTATTAGTATGACGACCACACAAATGTTTTGCAGAAACTTTCGTCCGGCTATCAGTCGTCGTTTATACCCATATTCCGTACTTCGCAAAATGTCTGTGCAAATCAAACCTCGTATTTTGCTTACACAAACTCTCCCAGAAGTCGCGCAAAAGAGGATAGAAAGTTTCGACGACATTGAGCTAATACATTGGAAGGATAATGTCATTCCTCATAGTGAACTGTTGAAATTAGTGAAAGGTAAGAAATGACAGAAATCATAAAGAAAGGATAAAGGAAGAACAAGGAAAAGAGTGAAACGTAAGTGAGAATTACGAATCGAAGTAATTTTCTTTTTCTCGGAAATTGGTGAAATTAATTAGAAATCGTCATCAGTCAAAATTGTGTCAAATCAAAGTGCTTTTGGATTTTTTTCAGGCGTCGACGGTTTGATATGCATGATCACTAACAAGATCGATGAAGAAGTGATTGAGACAGCTGGAGATCAACTAAAAGTTGTGTCTACGATGTCAGGTAGTATTAATATTGTCGTTGACGTACGTTATTATATTTTGTCTCATCCCACCGCATCAATGCTTTCCTCATCGTTACTTGAAATCCCCTTCTACTAAACAAAAGTTGGATATGACCACGTTTCTATCCCTGCTCTCAAATCTCGCTCCATTCCTCTTGGCTACACGCCAGATGTCCTAACCGACGCAGTGGCGGATCTAGCTGTCCTCTTGGTGCTCACAGCTGCCCGTCGTCTTCGTGAAGGCATTTCCGCTGTCTATAACGGTGACTGGAAGGTATGGTGTCCAACATGGCTTCTCGGGTGCCAACTCACCGATAAAACCATTGGAATAATTGGTTTGGGAAGAATAGGGTTGGGTACAGCAAAGAGGTTGAAACCATTTCTGGGTAGCAACGGAAGGATAATATATGCGGGTAGAACTATGAAGAAGGAGGCAGAAGAAGTCGATGCAAAAAAAGTAGAATTTGATGTTTTAATTAAGGAAGCAGATGTCGTGATTATTTCATGTTCACTGACCGAAGAGACGCGTGGGATGTTCGACTACGGAGTCTTCAAAAAGATGAAGAACAGCGTAGTATGTTTAATTCGATAACTTATAACTTATGTTATTGGTGTCGCTTGGACATTGTACTTTGTAATTGCTACTCACTTCCATTGGCTATTTGTATTCTTACCTTAATGTAGATTTTAGTGAACATAGCCAGAGGGAGTGTGATTAACCAGCCTGATCTGGTGCGTGCACTGTCTGAGAACCGGCTGGGTGCTGTTGCATTGGATGTAACTACACCTGAACCACTTAGTCCCGATGACCCGTTGTTAAAGTTTAAGAACGTAACGGTAATGCCTCATCTTGGTAGTGCGACAGTAGAAGCAAGAACAGCGATGGCGAATATTGCTATTGACAACCTATTAGCAGGAATCAAAGGGGAGAAGTTACCATATCGAGTGGAGCTTGATTAACCTGGGCAGCATTAACTTCACTTGCACGTGGAGAGATATTGGATTTTTAGTCGAGAATTTATGTTCGTTTACGCATAGTAATACACAGATTGAATTTTTAAGAACAAGAATCATTCAGAACTTATTGAACAGAATATTAAACAGCTAGGCTGTCAATATTGATGCAGATAAAAGTCAACCTATCTTGTGGTCTCAAGGCTCACTATCCAATGAATACAAATTATACGCCTTATGAATTTGTCTTTCAGCAAAAACCAGGGGCAAATTTGAGATTGATAACCGAATCATGTCTATGATAAAATGTTCTTTACGAGAGCTGTTCCGTTACGCAAAGTTAGTAATGCATAAGGTTACGTGTTGACCTGATATTTGTTATAGTCACGGTGCGTATCGTTTGGCTCCCCAATAACATATGGTAGTTCCCGTGGACTCTGAATCGGTATTGAAGTCTCGATGGCTTATAATCTATGGCTCCCTTAACGTGACGTAATTTAGTAAATCCCTCACGAATTAAAGCGTTAACATATAAACGGCTTTGGGACTTTAAACGTGCATTTCTCAAAAGACAATATACCACTCGGCTGCTCGGCCAAAAGGAACCGAAACATCATTATCATTGCTGTAAATAATTTGATTTTCGTAAAACATTCTTAACAAGCGAAGCGATGAAGTAAATCCAAAATTAAGACGAATTAATCTTTAATCAAACGAAAGTCTTCGAAGAAAAGACGCGAACGGAACTATATTGTACGTGCATTATACAGTATAATCACTAACTCACTATAAATAAATTATGTGCCATGCCTTATTGTTTGTTACTAGCTCATGCATTAATTATATAAAGAAAGCATTGTATCTATATTAATATAGAGGCTGTATAAAATGACACAACGCACTTTCAAATGCAGCGGTCTTGTAAGATGGATTAGTTAGAATATAGCCATTTATAGTAATAATTAGCTAATACGCAACGGATAAATCTCAGGGTACCAGTAAAAACGCGGATGTATCAAAAACGCTTGGTGTGTTAAACTTTTGCAGCGCGCAAGATATAAACGCGCAGCTAACACATGGTGATTTGCGTTCTTCATTGATTGCACCTACGAGTGAACGCTCGTCAATACTGGAGAAAAATATCCTGGTGCCGATGACGACAACATTAGACTGGACTATCAGAAATACCTTAAGAACAAGAAGGTAAGCAAGTAATGAACACGCGTTTATTGGGAGGATAGTTAGAACGTATCAGCGCTATTGCAAGAGAGGCAGTTGGGATGTTATTAGTTGGGGCAGAGCAGAGCTGGATGATGCTAATACGTAAACGAGGCAAGAAACAGTATGGGTTAGTAGAGGAGCAGAGGAGAGAGAATAGTCTGTCGCATGTTTATTAAGAGCATAATCGGATGCTGTTATAGTTACAATGTCAGAATGGAGAACAAGACTTTGAATGATCTGCCATTCCATAATAACGCTTTTTTTGTTGCAACGATTAATAACGTAATTTTTTCCCTTTCTCTTTCTTCTATGGTTATGTTGAAAGGTTGAGCGTCAGACGAAGAGGCTCGCACAGATTGTGCTGAAGGCGAAATGAACCAGAATATAACGTGCGGCGAAATGAATGAACGCGGTCCGCGAAATAAATGAATGCGGTTTTTATACGTGCTGACTACAAGGATGTTGGGTTGCTTGGCGGGTTTCCGGAATATTTGGAGGCATGCGGATGCCGATGGAGTAAAGATGAGGACATATATATGATACAACGCATCGGTAATGTCTTTCTTATTATTATATTGCTCGATATCACTTGGTTAAAAACATATTTTTATGCAACATTTATTTAGGGGATAGGATAACATTAAGTGAATTTTCGCTTAATGAAAAATATCGTTACAAAACCTCACAGATCAAATCCGCCAATTAAATAGTTAAGGATGTGGGAGAACTTGTCATGGGGGAGTTAATAATAACTGAGGGAGTTAATTCAGTTATACAAAGGATGGGGATGGAAATTGATAATAGAATACAAAGTATGAGAGAAGAAGAGAGAAGTGAAAGGAAAAAGTTAGAACAGAGAGTAGAAGATTAGAAATGGAGAGTACAATTGCCATTTTCATTTGCTGAAATTGCAGATTATTTGGAAATTTTTGAACTGTTATATGCTTTAATAGTGAGTATTTTTCATGTATATTAATATGTAAGTTTCATCAATGTAACGAATGTAACGATGAATTAAATCTTTAGGATGGGCTTGAAAATCAAACAAAGATATTACACGAATTAAGGTTATCCCCTAATGATCATGTGCCTAAAGTTCGAGACTGGCTTTGGGTTCCGGACAGGACAATATTCCAGATGGGAAAAACGCGTTTGCTACAACAATTTGTGGAAGCTGGGAGCATGCTAACTATGCCTTTTTAACAGGAATGAAAATGATGTTCCTTCATCTAAATGGGTCGTGAAATGATTTACCACAACAGTAACGCCTCCGCACGTAAGGCAGATGGTATCTGCTTTATATTAATGTCAATGATCCAGCATGTGGATCATATGCATAACCACATCATGGATTACTACTAGTTAACACAGAGCTGGCATAAATAATAAAAGCAATCCAGTTTTCACTGGCATACAAGTGGCCTGCAAAAGCAAGTCTGAAAACGAACCCCTGCAGTAATAGTAAAGAGGATGACAGGATCGGGCGTCAGAAAGGGGGAGGGAGGGTAGGAGTCTGGGTGGAAATGTAATATATCAAGAATACCCCAACCACTCCTATCACTCCTGGCAGGACTGCACAATCAAAAATATAATCCCAAGTCTGGAAGCAACTAACAATGGAGGAGAAGGAGAAGGATGGAATGAAGAAACAGAGAGGAGTTGGATGGGCTCTCCCTCAACTCGAATATAATGTGCGGCGGAAGTGACCGTTGAATGGTCAATCAATAAGGACAATGAAGTAGAAGAAGTGGAGGAAGTAGTAGTATTAGTTGGGTAGAAGTAGATGATAATTCAGTAGTAGTTGAGTAGAGTAACATGAATGAAGAGGAGGAAGCAAAAAAAACATACGGATGATGGTGTGGAGTTGTTATTTAGTGAGTTTTCGAGGTTTAATGCTGGGTGACCAAAACATATTAGGGATTGGAAAAATTTGCAAAGATGGGGGTAGTGGATGAAATAGTTAGACTAAAGGAGGAAAGTGATAATCTGCCTCTTAAAGTAAGAGACTGAGCTTTGACACCAGAAAATAGATCTGCTCTTGGTTTAGAAACAACCATCACTAATCGCCCCCTGCCAAGCGCCGGAATAACGTATATTAATATTAATTAATATTATACTTTCACGGATGTGTGATCAATATCATTATAATATTTCATATGCAATGTAAAATAAACCCTAACTGTTAAAGAAATAGCGAGTAGCTAAGGTTAAGTCTCTCTAGCCTGAATATGAATCATAAAATATAAGTGATGTACTTCCGCTATGCAATGGCGTAGCAGTTTGCACTTTTGACATCATCTCCGCTTCTGCTATTAAACATTGACAATCTGGACTACAGTGTGGGAATTGAGTATGTGTCAGGTTCAACAGGTGACAAACACCTTCAATATGCATGTACACCGCACCATCGAGTGATATGATCTTGATTGTGAGCAATCAATGCGAGCATAAATATTCAATTCTGTTTGGAGTGTGAAGATTATCACATATACCTGTTATCAAGGGAGCCACTTGTTCCGCAGCTGTCTTCGGCTGTTAAGAAAGAATATTTAACAACATATGTAATCGATTAAGTGCGTAACATGACACGGGACTAGTAGTCAGATGATCTACATGGCTTTGCGCCAGTTGTGCCCATTCCAACCGGTTTTGTTAGGCTCGTTCAGTAAAAAAGCGGGGTCACGGCTTGATAACGTAGCATTATATCCAAGTATGAAAATTCTCTTCAAGACGAGTTGCTTTACCAAGTCGTTCAAATTTACGATCTGGCGTCGCATTTTAGGAGAGATTTGACCAGAACAATCCTAAATTTTGCCATTCTTACGAAACCGGACTACATACTGTTTACAGGAAGGAACGGTAGTTTTTGGGGAATTTCGGATCAAAGTAAAAAATAATAAACAACAACGCGGGACTCTACGCGTACTGGCTGTGACCTAGAATATGTATACGTATTACCGGTATTTCCTCATGCTATGTTTACTATTTATATCGTTGTTATCACGCTATAAATATATAAACTTTGTCGTCTACCCACGCGTTTTCTCTGTCTCACATAAGCATCCTAACGACTATCCATATTTTCTCTCCCATGTAAACCACACCATATTCCATCTCCCATGCCTTCTCCTCACTAAATTTACAAACACAATTTTTGTTATTTTTAAAGCGAAAAATAATAAAAATAAAAAGAATAATAATAATCGCTGAACTCGGCAACAAAACACGATGCCAAAACATGCTCGTTGCCGAGTTCAAAAGTAAAGTTAACGCGACTATTAATTGTCTGGGAGTCGTACAACATTTATGAGCTTTTGAGAACTCAACACTCGATTTGAGGAATGTCACAAAATTGGAACCAAAGTTTCGGGTAATGTTATTAAATGTATAGAAACTTGCTTATGTATCAAAATAACTAAAACGACATTCGAAAAATATTGCTTGATTCAAATAGCATTTGCACAATAAAGTCCGGTTTAACAAAGGTGGCCTTATAACAAGTTTTTTATGGAATCAATTTATTCATATTTATATTTAGGTTCGAGGAACAAGTTTCACCATCGGTAGACAAAGAATCTTCCCAAACATCTCGAGTTATGGATAAGGAAAGAAACCCCGTATTTGAGAAAAGTTTCCTTTTGTTCAAGCGGTGACAATTCTTCTACTTGATAATCTTGTTTTATTTTGTCATCAGCAAGATTTAAGTGTTGACTTTAATTATTTAGTCAGCTAAAGAATAGAATAGATTGTGCATTAATCTAATTCATAGTCTTCGTTGATTGGACAGATGGTAGTTTAATTCACTTGGACAACAAAGAAACCATTTTAGGCGTGGAACAGCCCACGTTATTAGTTTAATTTGAATACAAATTTTGTCAAAATTCCAGCAGTCGATCTCATTTCCACGTGGCTATTTAAACATCTCAGAGGCGGGAAATAACAGATCTGTTACACTATAAACAATGTCGTTGATATGAACTCGAGCTTTATTTTCACATTCTTGTATTGAAAAACGAATAATTTTAAAGAAATTTTTGCAACACGGGACAGTGGATCCAGCCACTAAATAAGTACAACTCACTACCAAAATATAAACAAGTGAAAAAGAAAAAATAAAATAAAAGTCAAACCTATTTAAAAAAAAATAACGACAGCAAAACTAATCAAAATGTCGTTTCCCGCCCGTTCCTTTCTCTAAACACACCCAACAAAATCACCACCGCTGCATAATCTCACCATGCGGACTCCCGGAAACATTGCCATCAATGTTCTGCAAGGAGCTCAGAAAATCACCCATAATTTCGGAACTCGGCGGAGATAAATCAAGCGCGGGTTTTATGGTTTTGCTAGTCGGTGGCGATCTCGGAATTACCGCAATTATTTCTGGAACATGGACAGAATTCCTGTGATATGTCCTTTGGGCTGTCATTGAACTTCGAGATGGAGAACGAATAACAGGAAGAGGTGCCATGGCAGACTCCATTGGAAGCGAAGACGATGTCATAGTAGACTTCGATATAGCGCAGTCATTAGCAACTATGTCGCTCAGCGATGTGCGATCACTGTCGATGCTTCTTCGACCGGGAGATGTCCGGGAAGGAACGATGAGAATCTGTGGCTTAATAACAAGACCAGGCGTTACCGATGCTCGTCGTGTTCGCCGACTAAGAGCGTGATGTCCTTCTTCAGGAGTACTAGATAATGGACTATTCGTAAGACTATAATCCACCTGACCAAGGTCTTCACTTTGTGATAGCGATCGATTGAGTGAATATCCAGGAGTATGCACATTTGGCGTTGCCGAGCCACCCTTGTAATTTTGTTGCGTCGACGAACTCGACACTGAATTTACCGATCGCGCCGGTGATTTATCACGTGAAGTATTTGGAAGTCCCGAGGTCAATGATGACGATCGTGAATGTGGTACTCCATGTGTTGATACGGGTGTGGGCGGCGTTGACAGCGAAGTTGATCGAGATCGACTCCGCGCTCTGTTTGAATTGGTCGGTTTAAACGATGAATGGGAAGACGCCAAAGAAGATATGGAAGATGCTATCGAGACCGCATCATGAAGAGACAGTGGATCAGATTTGAGATATTCTGTTGCTGCTCGAAGAGTTGTCAACGCAAAGCTAGAATATGTAAAATTTGAATTAGCATATATAGTAAGTTTTTGATGGATCGGATCACATTGTTATTATAAATCATGCCCACCTCAACTCTGATCGCTCGGTTTTCGACAATCTAAATGTCTGCATATAAAAGAGAACACTTCCCAGCTTTCGAATTCTAGTATTGACAATAACGTATGCCATCAATGGAATAAAATCATCCGTAGTAATGGATGATCTCTCTCCACCCTCGTCAAAGCTCAATCCGCTTGTCAGTTGATTTAAAAAAGTGTCGGCTACATTGGCAACCTCTTGAATTGCCTTTTTGGCACATATCAGTTTTTCCAATGGTGTTTTTGCAGGGACGAGTTTAGACCGCGGCGCAGCACTGATGCCTAATCCATATTGGAGGCCATTTTCACGAGTATCGTCTTCATCCAGACAGCTAAGGATTTCACAAGCAGTATAGAGCGATTCTTCGGGCATATTTTGTAGACGATCGCATATGCCATAGTCTTTGAGATTGAGGCGAGCGCGAAAGTAGGCATACATTATTGATTCAAGGTAACTGTCGTGAGAATTATATATAGGACAGAGAGCATCGATGAAAATTTTCTGATGGAGTTCAGCCATTATCACACTAGAAATCAATGGTTTTAGAAAGAGGAAGAAAGGAAGGAAATGAGATTATGTATGAATGGTGCTAATTGCAGACCCAAGTCTACACGACGTGTACATACTTTTCCAGTAGTTCCGTAAATTGATCGAGCTCATGTTGCAAGCGACAAACGTTTGCAAGCGTTTGGTTTGCTTTGAGGAATGCCTGCGTTAAATTTAAAAATCAGCCTCGATATGATTTTGATCGCCAGCACGTATTTTTTAAACATACCGTTACTGCCTTGTTGAGGATTTGCATTATTCGATCAACAGCATAACAAGCATATCCACGAACGTATACATAAGTCTCATTAAATTCAGTCACCATATGTGCTAATTCCTTGATCGCATTCTCATTCTCGGGAAAACTCTGTAAGAATAGCAGATCGTTTTCGTAGTTCCTTTCTGAAGGTATAGTGGGTGACGTGCTCTCTGTTGCCATGCCTTCGCCTTCGAGCGGCCTTTCAATGATCAAGACTTGGATTGACTTGTACGACTCGTTATAGACTAACTCCTCGCCCAAGATACGGACTGTCCGATGCTCCTTGAAACCTTTATGGATAGAGAAATTAATAATTACTTAATTAAACTGTATTTACTATCCCAAGCATTTTTCTTAGCGGTACATACCAGATATTGATTTAATGACATTTCTTTCGATGCTCACTATTTTCCCATTGATACTGTGATATTGACCAGTAAAGTATGGTGACGGAGTCAAGGAATGTGTTTCTATTCATTACACGTTTTCAGATTTAAAATTTAAAGAAGAAAAGAAGCAGAAAAAAATGACGATCGAAACCAAGGGGTTAATTAATGGTGATCATCTAAATTGTCACTTCCGATCGGCGAAACATGCAATGTTGGTAGATCGCTGCCCTTGCATTGCGAACATTTAATCTGTTCTTAATTGAAGTTGGAATTATCATATCCCACGTGCAACTTTTTATCTAATCAGCATGCGATCCCTAATATAAGAAAGATTTGAACCAAAGGAACGACAACCAACCGATAAATGACCTTGACATTTTCAGACCGACAATACTTCTCGAATGTGGCACACAAATTACGGCCACTCGATGGAATATCTTTGAATAGTCTTTTCTCAATACTGTATAGAAAATGTTCTCGTCGAGATCATCGTCATCTTTTGTTTCGTTTAATGATTGGTTTGAGGAGTTGGGAGAAGAATAGAAAAACTTTGAAGAGGAATTGTCAGCGAAAAATGGAAGAGTAAGGGATGCGGAAGTGGTGGGAGATGTAGAGAATTGGGAAGTAAAACGATGGGGTGTTAGTAATTGGGGAGAAGTGTTTGATGAGTTGTGATTTGAGTTTGTTTTTGAGCGAAGTTTTTTAGGAGATACAAAAAATTTAGAAAGTTTCATAGTTTAGGTAAATAGAAAATGAAGAGAGGAGGATTTTGAGTGGTATTATGGAAGGTATATGAGTTGTAAAATTTGAGAATGTGAAATGTCACTTTTACTTGTGAAATATTGTTATTGCGTTGAGTGAATTGACAGGTTGAATGTCGTTGTTGCAATTGTTCTTGTTATCGCAATCAAAATGCTATATATTTTTTTCCCTCGCTATCTCTAGTGTCAAATGTATATAATATATGTATATATATTACAAAAGAAATAGTTACACTAAATTACAAAGGATTATCAAAAGAAAGAAGTGTTGTCTCGACGAAAGACGAGGGATATATAAGAAATGGTAGACAGATATTACGAGAATGCAATCAGGTAATATTCAGTAGTCATTGGTGAATAAAAGAAAAGTTGGGACGAATAAAAGGTATCTTTGAGACTAAATAAATACTGGGGGCTGAGTCACTGCAGCTAACGTGGTAAGGGCGTAAATGCCGTAGTTGCAGACAAGTAATGAAATATACCTATAGTTTGGGAAAAGGCGCGGAGAAAGAAAAAGGGACGAGACCTAAATCGGTTTAACTATTCAAAAAGACTTTACTACGCAACCCTCGTTATAAAGAATGTCAATAATTATCTTGCACTTTTTTTTAATAATCTAGAAGAAAGTAAAGAAGAAAATATGAAACAGTGTTTTTTTTTTATTAATATATAACAAATGAATATGAAATATACATGAGGGCTTGACACAATAATGTAGAGTGGAAGCGGGGGGGGAAAGCGGAAGGAAACAAAAATTTGAAAGTTAATAAAATTTTAGCATGTGGGGAAGTTAAATATAGTTTTTTCCCCTGAGCTTTGGGCGTCCAAAAATTTTGATAGAAGGCGAAGACGCAGATTAATATTTGACCAAAAAAGAATTCAGGGGGGAAGAGGACAAAATTGAGAATATGGAAGGACATGTGATTGGATGAAGAATGTGGGAATAACTGCGGCATATAATATCGTTAGAGCCGAAGTGCGTTTAAGGTTTCTTGTTTACGGGATATAGAGTTGGACGGATGACAAAGCAAAACAGTTAGGGAGAGAAGCTAAACGAGAAGGATCGAAGATATCTTAAATGGAAATATAATTAAACTCAACATATAAATAGTATAAGACAACGCGCGTAAGTTACGTGAAACCGATAATACAGCCGAATGGTGACTTTATCTGGCGAATGACATGAGACTAATGAATAAGTGATGACTATACAACAATTACAACAATTGTACAATAGACACATTGGAATATGCTGCTTAATTAAAATGATGCACCAAAACATAATATTATATTTATACATTAATTATATACGACTAATACAATTCTATACTTATTAATTTGATATATCAACATATGTAGAATAGTTTATTCTTCATTTTTCATAACATCGTCCAATAACATTTTGTATTAAATGGTGTTATTTAATTGTGTCTTGTGTGTTACTCTATCGTCACATTCATCCCTTATTTATTGCATTTGCGAAATCCACCCGACAACACAAACGAGTTAAGCTATTCACAATACTCTTACAAAAACAATGGATGTACCTCCCCACATTCTTCTCGTTCAGTACGTCTGACATCATTTGTTTGACCAATACCTTTATACTCCAATTTAACTCCAATGGGCAAATTGTTTTACAGCTACACATCTGATCGACACTTGTATTAACTTAATGTTCAATACGTCAACTCTGCTTGCAGGCTTACACAATAGCTGGTCTAGTAATATCAGTAATAGGAAGCGCCTTAATCTTTGAATAATCAATCATCGCGTCTCTTTCTGGATCCATTTCCGCAACTACGCAGCTGCAGTGTATCCGTAAGAATGTCATCAGTTGCAATATCTACCAGCCAAAACGAACCATAGAAATATTATCTGTCGTGTATGGATAATATTCATACTCACATATTGTCGCCTCTTATTATGTACAGCCCGAGCTGTACATGTTCTACGCCATCCGTTTCGGAAAATATACGTTCATGACATGAAGCAATAATCAGATTCCACGTCTGATCAAATCCCTTTAACGTTCCCTATCAATAATCGTTATTACCACTTCAGCCACATGCACGCTATCTCAAATCAACAAATTTACTTTGTTTCCCACTGTTCTAATCTCATTATCCCATTTCCTCCCCCCCCCCTCCCCATTCTCTCCCACATTGTCTCCCCCATTCTCTCCCCCATTCTCTCCCCCCCTTCTCCCATCTCTTCCCTTCACTCACCACTATTACTCGTCCGTCAACTGTAATAATCTCTACTGTCACTATCACATAAAATTACGCCAACCCACAGGAATCAAGGAATATGCAGCTTATTCAGAACACAACCAATTATGCGGTCATTAATTCATTGCGCCAACCAATCAAAAGTCATAATATAAATTAACTTGATTACACAACTTATCTAACGTATCAATACTCTACCCAACAACCAAGATCAATAGCAATAGAAATGTACATTAGATAAGCAACTAGACAAAGAAAATTAAAATCCATTATATGAAAGCAACCAAATAATATATAATGTAAAGAGTATTATAAAAGGTGACATGTAATATATCATCCGCACACAATCCCCACCCCTCTCGGAAATAAAGAACCGACTGCTAACAAGCATGTTCACAATCAAACAATTGTAGTAATTGAAGGTTGTGATTGCCAATGACGTAAAGAATGGAGACAAAAGGATACGATCAACGTATTTTTGCAGTTCTGCCATCTGGTAAAGGAAATCGCGTGCTTATTGATGTGCTTGATAGAATGAGAAATCTATACAAAGACAGCAAAGAACAGTAATATGTTAGATTGAAATTGTGTCAATAGAGTAGCATGAATGGGCACATGCATGCAGTTACCAGTCCACAAGACTGTCGCTGCTCTGACCAATTCGTGTATTGAAAAGAGATAAGCCGGGGTATCTAATATAATATCATATACTATCATAACATATCCGCTATTATTATGGATATACTATTATTATTGTTACTATTCTGTAGCGTCCACATCTGATTTTACTCCCTTCCTTGTCTTTTTGCGTACCAAGATCCCCACTATTGATATTTCAAGGTAAAACGGTCAGTCGAATGTAGTTAGTTGTTTGCACCCACCTTATATTCAGATCAATGATGTCATAGCCAATGTCACTGGAACTAAAACGTCACTGGTACTACGATGTCACACTTTCCATTACCAATCACTTATTCCAAACACACTAACACCTATTTTTTAATGTTGAACGAAAAGTGGGCAATTTATATAATAAAAATAAAAAGTCTGCTTTAACGAACAGTCCGTAAACTGTGTCAGGCCATTCCATGCACCTTGCTTTCATGTATTGGAGAATTATTTTGTCCATGTAAAGCAATCACAATGCGGTCAAACGGAATAAACGAGATTCATTACCTGTTTCCAATCGTCTGCGGAAATAAACGGTTTGCCAGCCGCAACTCGATTATTATAGTCTGAAGTATACAGTTGGAGTTTGCATCGTGAACAACGATTTTCAAGATGTCGTTTGTCAACTTGATAGTCTTGAGCAGAAGTTACCGTATTATTCTATGGGATCCTGGACTGTCGACTTTAGAGGGTCAGTTTCTCTTCAATCTCGCGTTTTGAAAACCGTCATCCAACAATCTTTGCAAATTCACGTACTAAGTTTTTGTTTCGCCTGGCCCTTTGAGCGCAATTATTAGCGATTTAGTAATATTAGAGGCGTAAACGAACAACTTTATTTTCTAATTCTAACAATTGTTTTTGGAACTGTTTCTCTGGATATAGTATTACCAGCAGCATCATCGCTTCTTTTGACATATCCACCACTCCAATCTCATTCAGCAATTTCGGAATAATATTATCATGTTAGACTTTTTTTTTCCGTCCAATTACTTCACGTTGTCTTGTTTCTCGAAGCTTAATGGATTTTAATGTCTCTTCCAATTTCTTCTACCACATACTTCGTTGACTTTTTACTGGAGTTCTGTTCCAATCAGTCCCGCCTTTAACATCAACTTTAACTATTGTGACTGAATACTGACACTTGTAGAAAATCTTTTGTTTTTCCTAGTGGAAATGTAGGACAACGCTTTATAGACTGTTGACAATATCGCTTTCGAATTATAACTTTGTTTGAAGCGAGTGAAAAGTCTGTTCGTAGACACAATAGCAAATGCATCGCAATTTTCTAGCTACAGTTGGTATGAGGCGCGCTAAGTTTAATACCAGTTCAAAAATTTATATCTCGACACTATTCTAGCCGAGATTCGTGATTTTGTTTCTCTACGCTGTCAAATATAATATATAATTTTAGAGCATAGTACTGCGTGATTGCTACTATAAATGCAGATTATATTGCAAAATTATAATATTGTTAAATATTGTGCGCGTTTATTGCCATGTACAATAACAATTTTGTGCCAATGACTACACGCCTCAAGAAATATGCAGGGATTAATTTGATAGAAACGTGAGAAAATATAGAGTTTGGAGTTTGCGATCGAAATAAGCGAGAGTGTGAATGTGATATGTTTATTTTTTGAAGACAAATATTAATGTTCTGGCAATACATTCCGATTTGCAATAAGCGCATTATCCATTATACAACTAATAAGCGACGTTTAATCAACATTGTTTATATGATAATAACGAAATAGTGCTTATTTTGATTTAAAATTCGCTACGGGCCATTAATTTTTTTGGAGACATCCAATCGAACAAATAGTCTGTGAAGATTGCATTTGATGATACTTTAATTCCGTATAAAGATAAATTACTATTCTGTGTAACGGTTTCTGGTGTGCATACAGTCGACTCTCCCTAATGAGTCGCAATCCACTTAAATTTATTAAGCGATTCAGACCATTAACCATGCCATAATTTAATTCAATCAAATTACCATAAAGAAAACGTTTGACAATATTCTAGAAAAATATTTAGTGAAAGGAAGGTTAGTGTAATCAGTAAGAACCAAAAGTATTTAGAAGAATACACAGTTGGCAAACCTTGAAATTTAATCGCAATTCAATGGGAGTATTCGCTCCTAAGCCCGCTATCAAGTATAGATCAACATTTTAGAAATCATAACCGAGTAAGGGAAGCTGTGCTTAATACGTGTACCTACAGTCAACCTCCCCTACAGTCGCCTCCGATACGTGTTATAGTCGCACCTCATATACAGTCACAGGCGATGAATATATAATAAATTAATACTAACAATGAAATAACAAAATAATAATAATAATACAGGTCACATGACCAATGTAAGTCTCCCTTCTATTCCCCAGGTTTTATCTGGTTCCAATGTAGGGGAGATTTACTGACTGTACCAACTTGCATTGTTCTCTAAATACCCAAACCGATCACCCAATCGCATTGTCTCGTTGAGAAATTCTACATTTTTTATTAACGATTTGTTGAGATCAATTAGTGCGTTGTCGTATTGTTTTAGATTTAGATAGACACTCATACTCTTCTGCTTCGACATTTAAACTCAGGAGCTTTTTCATATATCCTATTAATATTAATATTTAAATGTCCCACTTTCTGGCAGGATGCCCGTGTTGATTTCTCCCGCCGAACGTGAATACATTATTAATGGCGTTGATCACAACATACGCGCAGACGGAAGAGGTCGTCTCGATTACAGACAGATAGTCGTTGAAACTGGACTCATCTCTCAGGCCAGTGGTAGTGCAAGGTGTCGGTTGGGAGAAGGTACGGACGTGTTGGTAGGAGTTAAGGTCGAGGTAGGACAAGTCGATATGGAAGGAGACGATGAGGTTATTCGTGAGCGGAAATCGAAGCGTGGTAGAGTAATTTGTAATGTCGAATGGTGAGTTTGTCATGAAATTGTATAATCGTGGACATTCAATCTGTGATTTATTTAATTGTTTATCATATGTTAATAGTTCTCCCATCGCATCACAACAATTCGCCGGTCGTGGTGCTGATGACTTTAACAATGAATTAACTCAGACATTGGATCGTGTGCTAAATGGACCTCAGGGCGGGTTAAATCTCGAAAAACTTTGCATTATCCCAGGCGCCCAATGCTGGGTTGTCAACATTGATGCGTTGGTAAATCAAACATCATAACAAAATCTGCGTATTGCACATTTCTTTATTTTGTAACTAAATTAAAGAGTAGATATTAGATTATGCGGGAAACCTTCTTGATATGGTATTCATTACAACACGCGCTGCACTACACAATACGAAAGTACCAAAGACAATCATAACAGAAACAGAAGATGGTCTGGAGTTTGATTTTTCGGACGATATGGAAGATGCAGAACGAATTGAAGGATGGGAAAATGTTCCAACTGCCGTAACGTTAAGCAAGGTAAGAAGTCTTGTTGGGTGATTACATTGTGTTCGCGAAACGCAAGGGTAACAAACCTTGGACAAAAATAAAGATTGGGTCTCGCCATGTAGTGGACGCTACACCATTGGAGGAGCTAACAATAGATGCAAGATTGTTGGTAACTGTCAATAAGGATGGGAAAATATGTGGTGTGCAAAAAGGTGGAAGTGGTAGCATTGAACCGAGTCTGTTGAATGAAATGATACAGGTAATTAATTATTTGTCGACATCCTTCGGAACCATAATCACAAGATTGTTAACATGTATATATAGACTGGAGGCACGATAGGCCAACACGTTATTCAGAAATTGGATGAGCAGCTTGAACGTGAAGAAAAAGAAGCATCAAAGAAAACTGGATCTGTCGGAAAGCTAGGTTTTTTCGCAGCAATATAAGTTTATTCTTTGCTAGATTTTAATAATCGGCTATAAAGTAGTTTTTTTATTTGGGAAAAAATGAAAAATTTCTCAAAGAAAAACACAGGGAGAAAGTAGATTTCTGAACAATCAAAGAATTACCGGAAGGATCGAATAATATTTATATATAAACCAGATTGATGCGTCCAATGTCCAAGGATAAAAAGAAAAATAATAGTGTATTTCTTTTAACTAGTATGAGAATTGTCGCACGAAAGATACTGCTTACCATTACGGAATCTGTCGGATGAAAGTTTTAATCTATTACAAGAGCAGCACATGCCCATTGCTTTCGGTTACGACACTCGATCCTATAATAATGTAAAGTAAATGGTTCCTCGGCGGATGGCGGCGCTGATTAAAAAGGTCTCGGGCTTTAACTGGCTACCTCATGTCTGTCTCGAATTCTCATTAATTAGAAATCTTTCTAGCTAAACAATTATCTGAGCTGGTCTTTGGCTATATTGGCAAAAACCAGCACGCCAGGCCCGCCGGTTTAAACAGATTTGACCTGTATTACATTTTCACCCAAACTTGACACATTTACCCGTTAAAGAATTACGTGTTGATGTTCTCTTTGGAATTCACAATATAAATTTGACTATTTTCGATAAAGTTAACCAACTAATAAATACAAATTCAAAGAAATTCCGCGATCAAATGCTTTATCCAATTGATCAAAGTCAACGTGTGGCCAATGTTGATCAATCAAGCTAAACTTTACAGTTCTGGGCAATGGTGTAGTTGATGGAGTAACCACAAGTGTCCTGTATGAACACATGTTAGTTCAGTAAAATCATTACATTGACTGTGGGTAAAAAAAAATGTAAACATACCTTTTATAAAGTGAGATGGAGCCATTTCTTGAATCAGTAGCAACTCGTTTAAACAAAACTTGATTTGGTAACATGGTGTTGGCAATGGTCACATCGACGGCTACATGTTTTGCCAAAACACTATCAAAGTCTTCTAATGATGATCCGAGCAGATCGTGAACGTTGACTTGAATGTTTGAATCTGACATGATTGATAAATTATGCGTCAACCAACAAATCCGTCAGCCAAGCTCTGTAAGCAACACATTTCATATTTACCTCTCCAGGTAGTTGGATAACCTAATAAATGTCTGGGAGGCATGTAGGTTTTGTAAAATAATATATTGGTCTCATAGGCTTCTGATGGATGTTTGTAAACTACACAATCAATATTATTCTTTTAGTTCTTGTGTAGAGCTTTACTCCTATGCTGCTAAATAACGCACCAGGAGATATAAACTTATGCTCAAGCTGGCAAATGGTATAGTCTCCTCCGTTTCTCAAGTGACAATCGTGGAATTTCATGCTTTGCTTCTGTAATTTAGCCATCATTGGAATTACTCCAGCCTGGTGAACAAGACCATAGACTATAGTCATTGCTATATTAAACAATATCCATGAAACCTATAATGTACAAGCAATAACAATTGATAAATAAAAATTTCTTGGAGAAATTGGTAACAATTCAAACTCACCCAAAATTTCTTAGTAAGTGATTGACAAGAATTTGCAGAGCAAAAGACTAGTATTATCAACATTGGTAGCAAAAATCTTGCTTCTTGATGTGGTATTGTTGACAGAAAACTGAATCCACTTAACCCACTTGCAATTAGCACTAATTATGATCCTTGAGTCAGTATCTTTGAAACAATAATACATCATTTCGCCTAATTCATTTACCAGTTTTGTACTTGTTCCATGATTCAATCTGCCAATTCTTGATGGTTTTGAAGAGCTCAATTATGTTAAGCAATGCAAGTGGTCCAAATAAAATTAGTAAGTTTACTATATGGAGGTATCGTGGATGTAGCCCATGCTTGGCAAGGTTATCAGAGTCCATGTTGTATAATATGTTATTTAATGGGGCAATTATGGGAGTTCCCTATAAGAAGGTTTGAACTGAAATTAGCAAATGCCCATTTTGGAAATATTTACATAATAATATCATTGAGCATCCCACCTTCATTTCTATACTCCAATCCAGATGTATCTTAAGTTTCACAATCAAATCCCATAAAATTCTACCAAGGTTTATCAATTCTTTGTCTCTTTTAAATATTATTACGCCAAAATATATATTGTCAACCAGAAGACAAAAAGTTGCAGTCATAGCCATCCCCAGGATGATAGGTCTAAGTTTGTATGTAAAGGCATCTGATATTCCTTTGTCAGATGTAATGGAGGACCATAAAATCATAAAGCCCACAGGGAGTGCATATAAGATAAATGTGATTCTTGTGAAAACACCCAACGTAAGAAGACATCCAAGTTTGAAAAATGACTATAAAGAATAAATTAGAAGGTTGTGTAAAATAGCTGCAGCAGAAGACAATCAAGCAACAAAGTTACTCTACAAAGTAATTACCGTCTGAAAGTTTATATCTGTCAAACCTTTCATGTTGCCTGTAACTGTGGTCGTGTCATTTTTGGGCGCGACATCTTTGTTATTACTTCTCGCATCGCATAGTTGATCACCCTCAATCACGAAATAAAAGCACAGGGATAATATTAAGCTCTCTATTGTGTTTGAGAACGAATGTGTGTGAAATATCAAAGTTGTGTACGCTGAGGCGAGTATCACAAGTGTAATGGCGACATTGCGTTGGGAATATTTCAATAAAAGCATCGACTTGTATAATACAAAATCTGTGTTGAGAAAATAAGTATGACAGCATGAGAGTAATAAATTTCCATTTGGTTTAGAAAAGACCAATAACGCGTACCCAAGATGAAGGAGAGAAACAGAAAGGTTATGCGTATCGTCAGAAATAACATTGTGGATGTAATCTCTAGAGAAAGTAGAGCATGTTAGAAAAATCCCATTACTTATCCTATGTGATCGAATCTTTACCTATTCCCAATACTGTTGTGAATCCTTTCAAAATTAGGAACGGGAGCCCAGCCGTAAACGCTCTATAAACAATATTCGCTTGAAACAATTAATTGGATCGACTCTTTCAAATCAAAAGGGAACATGTTTACATACGGGGGCACAATACTCCTAGCAGGGAGCTGTGGATCAAACTCCCAAGGAATGAAAACCTCTAGGTTAAATACATCTCCTATACATTGTATTAGTAAATAACGGTAACTTTTCTCACAATTAAAAATAAACGTCCTTACTACCTGCTAACACTTCTGGCCCCTGAAAAAATTCGTCAGGATGGATATAACCTGGTAACAGAGCACATAAGAACCTAATTACGCAAAGAGACAAGTATAACAATTGCATTATATGGATCTACCAGAAATTGATGGGGGTTTTTTTTGGTGATCTGTCCCGAATGATAAAATGACCGGTCAAGAATGTGTCGGGAATGTAACCTGCAAATTACCAAAAAATATTACGTTTCTAGATAAAACTGTATTGAAAGTCCTATTAGAAAATTTAAATTCTGCAGAAGCGGCTGATGACAAGTCATAAACTCGAAAATTTACAGGGGAGCGAAGAGAAGACATTACGCGAGACTAAGGGTAAAAGGAGACTCCGAGCGAGAATATTCAATATATTACACTATATTAATTCTTAAGCTAATTACATGACGTGTTTATACGAAGGACGATTATGATAAGGAGATGAAAATGCGTATACCTTGTTTCTTTATAATGTAATTTGTGGGGTGCGAATTTGTTGAAATCAAAATCTTTCCCACGTCTTGAGCAACAGATAAATTTGTATAATTTTTATTATTTATACGACTTACAGGGATCATGATTGAATACGCTTTCGAGATTAGCGTTAGATTCCATATAAAGTTTGTTATCTAAACGTCCTCACTAATTACCATAAAGGGTGCAATCGCATTGTGTATCCATTGTGCGCGTTTATCCATTATATACAAAGCAAATTAGCTTCTGGGTCCGGTCAACAAAAACCTGTCAAGACAGAAACCAAGAGTGACTACGTGATGCATATGATCCATAGATCCGGATACTCTAATCAGACAAATCATACCATTTGCTTCGACAATCCACGGCTTCTTTCCTAACCAAACGCTTCCGGTCATCCAATGCTTCTGCCAGAACTCTAATCACTTGACTCTTGTATGGAAACAGCACATCAAACTTGATTGTATCCGGAAGAATACTCAAACATTTTAATGCGGATATTCGAACAGGCTATGAAGCAAACTGATGAATTAGCCCATATAATCACTCTGACATTTGTTCGACGATATTAAAACCCAAATCCCCTCACCATTGTGTTATGCTCGGACTTTGATGTGTGTGAGAGAAACAGCTTGACAAGGGTAGATACATGCTCGGTTATTATGTCTGGTGCATCAAGAGCAATAACATAAAACGTATCGAGCGTTGATGTACGAAGAGACGAATCGGGGAGTGAGAGTGAATGTATGAGAAGAGGTGTGATCTGGGATGAATCGTTGGATAACGTTTTAAAGGTTAATCATAATGTCAGCAACCGTTTGTAATAAGTTGAGCATATACTCACAGTCTCATGCATCACTACTAATGAACTATTTTTAAACTTACTTGTGAAAGAAATCCAAGCGTCACTTCCTTTGGAACGTTAATAAGTAACTGAGACAGAGCGATCAAGTAATGGTGCTTCACTTCTACAATCAGAAATTTAGTAAGTGCCAATTCAACATGCGGATTAGCTTCGAATCACTTACCATCTGCAGAGGATTTGAATCCTTCCACTAATTGGGGCAGGCAATGATTGAAAAATCTCTGTTTATATAACACCTACATATATAATAGTCTTTTAATATAAACGAGCTAATTGATACATAGATCCAATCTAACAATCAAATATTAAATTACACTCATAATAGCAAAGTTCTGTTTGTTAAGTAAATCGTCATCGCCAATGATTATTCCAAACCCTTTGGATGCATCTTCAGCCAATACATCGTCACTAAATTGTCGGATGACATGACCAGTGCAGGTGAATCCAGCAGCGTGGGCACGAATAACGAGCGCTTTTGTGAACTTTAAAACGATACAAAATGAAATTAGTCTTACTACGTGCGTGTTCGTTGGCGGGATAAATCTGAACTGATGGCTCGTACCCAGAGAAAGAGAGAAAACGATATGCATCGATTGCTCTCAATTTGATCCGGTCCGAAGCTTCTTAGTAGCTGTCCCAGTATTTTTGATTCAATAAAATTCTCCAATTCGTTATCTGTTTGACAAATCGAGTCAAATAAATAAGATACCCTTTTCTAATAGCGTATGTTATCAATAAGCCTTCTTACCTTCACGAAGTTTGTTCACAATAGAGGCCGCGAGCTTAGCCAGTGACCTCCTATGTATATCATTCTGAGTTGATATAGAAAGGTCAACAACTGTGGAAAGGAAACTTGAGATATTTGGTAATGGTAGTGTGACCTATAAATCCAATTATTAGCTTAACAAATTAAAATGACGGTGAGGATACATGATATTACGCGAGATTCCTATACCTGCTGGCGAATTGACCCAACAGCAGCGGTAAACAATAAAGCGAGATTCTGTTGAGGTACATCGGAATTGACCTATTTAAGCGAGCCATAGTCAGTCGATGCCACATCATTGAAAGTGAAACAACATACTCAACTTACTGAAATTGGAGCAAAAACAATGTCTTTATTTATTTTGGTTCCTTCGCCGAATGACAGTAACGACACATTTCCTTTTATAAATACTTCAAACATTTTCTCAATGAATTCGGTTTGTGTACTATCAGACAAACAGGTCATTAGCCATTATGTTTCAAATGACGCGCGTGCAGAACATCAAGTTTGTTAATATACCTAACATCCAATGTACGTATAATGACGCCTATTATCCTTGATATCTGCTCGATAATTCTCAATTCACCAAAGATGGCCATTGCTTTGACATTTTCCTTGTCGAGAGTAGGCTCAACACATCTTGTTAACAAGTGAATTACGATTCCATCAACGTAACCTTGTATGTCTGTATGATGCAACTCCGTTTTTGTTATGAGAATATCATATACCGTCTTAAGTAATCTTAAGGGATACTCGACATCCTCCGTGGAAGAAGCTGTAACGACATTTAACAATATGAAAATCATTCAAAAAACTTCCAATTATAATTCGGCGAAATTAAATAAAATGCAAACTGACCAGCAATATAAACATCAAGATTCTTCATGGCCTCAAGTGCAAATGCCCCAAATAATAATGGCTCGACTGCCAATTGAGAGAGAGCTTTGAGAACGTTAATGTACGATTTCTTAGTAGTTCCAAGGATTGTACTTTCAGCATCTTCATGGTCAGTGGGTAATTGCGAAAGAAATACTGGAATACTATACGTCAGTAATAACTGAGCCTTATAGTGAGATATGTTTGCCAACGATTTCAATGCTTCGGATCTATATAGTATCGTATAATGAATATAAAACTTGAACAGGGTAATAAACAGTCAAGGCGAGCGTAGAAAGGACAAACATACACAATGTCTTCGTCCGGATCATTTAAAATCGTCTGGTTGAGCTCCTGGATTATAACGCCGATCTCGTTATCCTCCAGAAAATTTTCAAGCAAAACAAGTTCGCATAAGCCCTTGAGACCCACAAGACGGAATTCGTTGTACTCATTTGAGGAAAGAAATGATGTTCTGAAAATACGGAAATAGTCTTCTTTGAATTCCTTGAGAGGATTTTTAATATCTTGCTCTAACAAAGTTGCGGCAGTTAATTTACGTGTTACACCCATTGTTATAAGGGTAATTCGATTAAAAACTTTGTACCAACCGTCAAATTCTCCTGGCTGATCAATAGAACCATAAAGGGCTTTACTTGCTTCAATGTACTCTATCAATGCCTCTGCAATACCTTTTTTTTGCGCTGATAAATCACTAAGAGTAAATTGCTTTAAAAATCTCGGAACAGTTGATTCAATGATCAAAGTGAATGCTGGATCTACAAAGAACGTATAAATAAGCTTGTGTTAGCATCATATGATTACCGCAGAAGCTTTTACTGCAAGCAAATCAAACATTAGTTACCAGAAGCCATAGCACAATATTTAAGAATTCTTCCACTTGGCTTAGCCATCTTCAAGTCAGGTTCCTTCAGAAACTCCGTGCACTCAAACACGACTGGTGAAAGAAATTTCTCCAAAGGATTGGATTTATCAATAATTGAGGCCGAGAACGTGGACACGACACTTTTTAACGCTTCAAGTGCGTTGTATTCCATGGCATCATCAGTTGCATGAAATATCTATGATGGGATTAAAAAAGCTATTTAGAATAATTCATATGTCTTACAGTTATATGGTAACGATGATACATACTTCAATTTTCAATCCCTCCCAGAGATCTTCTATGTACGGAATCAATGGTTCAGTTCCATAAACGGGTGAGCCTTGAGCAATAACTTCAATGGAATCTCTCTGCAAAAATTCTCATCTAAGAAAATATGTTCATAGTGTACTTAACTCTTTCACTAAAATCAATAATCAGAATTGATCGTTTACCTTCGCGTTACCAGAGGTCGATGTGAGCTTTTCTAACAACAAAGGCATTATATGTTTACCAAATAAAGGTGTACCAGTCAAGCATTCCCTATATAACAAGTATAACTTTTGAGGATCAAACCATCATCGGCTGTCAACGGACTATAGAAAAGGAAAAGAACCAAGTTTTCAGTCACCCAAAATATTAACCTTAATGCAATTTTCAGATCGTCAGCGGTAATACCATACGGATCATCGGGTGGTGGTTTGAAAGTAATGGGAAAATAACAGAACGTGACTTCAAACAATTCCTTGATGTGAAAAACTCGCAATCAACAAACTGATGCAGCAGGAAGAACGACAGACATATTACATGTAATGTATCAAACCTCAACATGCTGTGAAATATCAAATTCACCTATAATCAATTTAACAAGTGAGAATGCCAATAACAGATTTCTCGGATCTTTTTCGCCATCCATAGTTTTAATAAATCCTGATACAAATTCTGCTTCTATTTGTTTCAAGGCTTTGAGATTTTTCACCGAGCGTTAGCAATTTCATTACAGTTTGAATAGCCAAAAGCAAAGGTATATTGACGTACCTTTTATGTGTATCTTCAACATACTATCAAAGATTTGGTATACATAATGCCTTACTGCTTGTGGGTAATCTTGTACATTTATTTTGAATACGCTGATATCCAACGAAACATTCATCAGTATGTTCCAGCAGGTAAATAGATTCAGATAAATGTGATCACCTACGCAAGTGATACATTGATGGCATTGTCATTCGAGAAAGCTTCTAATTGTTGTAAAAACGCAAGGCCCCGTAACAATTCGGGCACGCTTATAGTATCAGCTAGTCTTTCGCAATAGAAGTTTACAAGCACATTCACTGTTGACAAGTAATTAAATGAGATCTTCATCCGTAACAAGTAACCCGAAGCAATAGTCTCGTAACAGGAAATAGTCTCGCAACAAGACTTACTAGCAGCTCTATTCACCTGTCCACTAGGACATCCGGTTAATATCGTTGTCAGGAGACTAGTTGCTGATTTTTATACGGTTAGTCGAGTCAAAAATTAAATTGACTTCAATTACCAATTTGACAAACCTTTGGCTCTAGTGGAAGCATTTTCACTCGTAAGATATTCACCGAGATGTTGAACCAATGTTACCAGAGTCGACTGTCCATCACGAATTCCTAGCCAAAATTTCGTATCCGCAAATAAATCACTAATATTGGCATTCAATTAAAAAAAAAGTCTAATACAGGTTCTTACTCTGGATTATAGAATTAACGATTTCTTTGGTTTCATCCGTTGCATCTTCTGTAGTTATCATATACGTTCGGATCAGTCTTGCATCCATCGTTATCAATGATTAATTAAGCCAAGAGTAAGCAAACAAAAATGGTTTTATTGATATTGATGAACACATGGCGATAACGCCACAGTACGTCAGTGAATTAAAGTTGACATTATAATTATAATTAGTATCGAATTTTGAGTATTACAATAGTAGATTTGCCGATTATCATTATTTGTAAGACGAGCGCCACATAATATTTCAGCAGATATGTGGCCAAGTATTTTGTCCTCACTATTATCAAACAAAATTATGTCTACAGATGGAGTCTCCACCATTTATTAATAAGCAATCACGTATTTATATCACTCCCTTCCTCGAGGACAGAAGCAACATGCAAAAGCCTTTGCTCATCTCCATACTGTGCTAGCAATTGTAACCCAATAGGGTATCCATCTTTGGGTGAAATCCCAAACGGGATACTTATTGCAGGAATACCTAATCCAATAATAGAATAAATGAATTAAAGACAATAATACGGACTTTACAAATTCTATACGTCTTTCTTTCATTTATACCTGCTAAGCTGGCTGGAATTGTCATAACATCATTAACATATGCCTCTACAGCATTCCTTCTCTCTACATTGGTAACTTCAGTAATTTTTGGTGCAGTCGATATGGTAACTGGCGTAATCAACACATCAACACCATCAGGTGCCTTATCCGTGTGTTGTAATCCATTCAATGGATTGGCTTTAGCGAAAATAGCATCAAAGTCTTTTTTGATAAGTTGACGAACTTTCTGAGCTTGCAGAAAGCAATCCGAATAGGAGCTATATTATAGAATTAAGATGACACGGGTGCGTATGACGTTTAGAATTAAAAGTGTAACATAATGATTTAAATAACACGCCAATTGAGAAACCATACCCTTCAGTCAACGTATAAGTGCCCAGAATTATCCTCCTTTTTACTTCTTCACCAAAACCTTCATCTCTCGTGGCAGCATACAATGTTTCATCAGTTTCTGTTACATTATCACATCTACTTCCTAAATTTCCAAGAAATAACAGATGCGTAAATCGAGGCATTGTGTTCATGACACAATATAATATAATTATATATTATCACAATTTAATTGTTTTTGATACCATATCTTATTCCATCATAACGAGCCAGATTTGATGATGCTTCAGCGGGAGCCAAAATATAGTACGCTGGAAGCGCATACTGAGTGGACGGACAAGATACTGGGATAATTGTCGCGCCTCGGTGGTTCAGGTAGTCGATTGCTTTTTTCCATAAAGTAACAATAGTTGTGTCGAGCTCGGACACAAAGTAAGACTTTTGTGAAAATTCGAAATAATTTAAGTGTTAATGTTTGACACAACATGCCAAAACAAGTTGAAACTTGTCGGAGAATTGGACTGATAGGTTGTTCATTTTCTGACGACAGGTTCGTCAAAGCTACGGTTGAAATACCCGTTAATGACAACCATAAGCAACTTGCCAGTCAGTTTTACAACTCCATTAAAACAATAAAAGACTGAAATTCTCTGAAAAATGGCCAGAAGATGTCAACATTTGGGATTATACTATAAGATAGAAAGGTTACCTCTGGAACGCCAACACGGATATTATTCAAACTATCTGTGCAAATCGGTACATGCGAATCCTGTTGAAATATTTCTGATGGAATGGAAGTCGTGTCTTTTTCATCATATGTGAACAACACATTGTACAAAAGCCTGGTATCTTCAACCGTTCTTGCTAAAATTCCGACAGTATCCAAAGAATTTGCGTATGCGACCAATCCCCATCGCGAGCATCGTCCATATGAAGGCTTAAATCCAACAACACCACAATACGATGCCGGAAGCCTCACGGATCCACCCGTGTCCGATCCTAATGCAGCAAAACACATTCCACTAGCAACGGAGGCAGCTGAGCCGCCCGAACTTCCGCCAGCAATACGAGCTCCATTTTTAAGGTCTTGGGTGTTATATGGATTACGTGTTTCGCCAAAATGGCTATGTATTGTTTCAGATCCCATTCCGAACTCATCCATATTTGTTTTTCCAAGTATTATCGCTCCCGCATTGATTAGCAATTCGACTACTGTTGCATTAAATGGGGGTTGGAAGTCTTTTAACATTGTCGATGCACACGTAGTTTTTAATTCGCTTGTACAAAAGTTGTCTTTAATGGCAATTGGTATGCCATCCAATGGACTCCGTTTACGTCCATCGCGGATTCTCTTGCCAGATTGTTCGGCAAGCTTCTGAACACTATCTTTCTCTGAGATCTCAATAAATGCGATATAAATTATTACAAGTTGACAATACTTTGGTAAAGATGCGTTAGAAAAAAAAACTTTGGTGATT